GATCAACACAGAATAATGAAGTGATAAGCTATACCTGGAAGCAAAGTGTGGGAACAGACCCCAGGGACATAGGGATCTAGCGTAGAGTGGTAGAGCCATGAAACCCAGGCCATGAGGAAGAGATGACCTGGGGTTCTCTTGGTTAGAGACCTCAAAATCCAAAAGTTCCAAATAACTGAAGGTTTATAAGCATCATTATGAATTCATGAATTTAAATATATTTGATATATTTCAATCTATCACATTTATTATCTTTACTGATATCCAAAGTGTCCCATTTGGGGTGAGTAAGAGCCTCTTCAAGTTGGCTCCTGAGTCCTGTAGATATGACCTTAGAGGTCTTTGATAGCTTTGTTACATATGATATGGTCAAATAATCCAGAATCACCTTGTACACTTCCTGTCTCATACCTAAGTTCTATGTGAATGAATGTCTAATGAATGCTTGGCCATAATGCCAGGAGGTCCTGTGATAGACTATGCCTATGAGAATGGAGTCTCGCATGCCTGCAGACTATTAGAATTAAAAATTCCCTTAACAATCAACTAGCCCAGGGTCCTCATTCTACAGAAAAGGAAACAGAGGCCCAGAAACATGAAGTGACTTACATAAGGTTACACAGGGCTATGGATTTAAAAACTAGGCCTCCAGAATCTTGATCCCTTGTGCTTCCCATAGACTTATCTCTACCTACACGCCCTCAATCCATCCACTCAGGCCCTTCCCTCAGGCCCCATCTCAGCCTTAGCTGCGTGTGCTGGAAAGTCGACGTAGAAAGTGAATGTATCCAATTTCAAAACTTACTATAAAGTTACAATAACCAATACAGTGTGGTACTGGTATAAGGATAGGCATACAGGTCAATGGAATAGAACTGAGAGTCTAAAAATAGATCCATACATTATGGTCAATTGCTTTTTAACAAGATTATCAAAACAATTTCAGTGGGAGAAAGAATTGTCTTTTCAACAAATGGTGCTGGAACAACTAAATAAGGTTGAAGAATGAAGTTGGGCCCCTGCATCACACCATATAAAAATGAATTCAAAATGAATCAAAGATATTAATACTGTAAAATTCCTAGAAGAAAATATAGAGACAAATCTTCATAACCTTGGGATAGGCAATAGTTTCTAATATATAACACCAAAAATACAAACAACAACAACAACTAGGAAATTGGGCTTCATCAAAATTAAAAACTTCTGTGCTTCAAAGGATACCATCAAGTAAGTGAAAAGACAATCCCTAGATTGGCAGAAAATATTTGAGAATTATACAACTGACAGGTAATTATATCTATAGTATATATCTCTTAAAACTCAACAATAAAACGACAACACAAATAAAAGATGGGCAAAGATTTATATAGACATTTCTTCAAAGAAAATATGCTCAAAAAAACACATGAAAAGATGCTCAACACCATAAATTACCAGGGAAATGCAAACCAAAAACACAATGAGATACCACGTCACATCCCCTGGGTAGGCTAGAACCAAAGAGACAGATAATAACAAGTGTTGGTGAGGATGTGGAGAAACTGGAGTTCTCATACACTGCTGGTGGGGATGTAAAATGGTGCAGCCACTTTGGAAAACATTTTGGCATTTCTTCAAAAGGTTAAACATGGAACTGCCATATGACCCAGCTATCCCACTCCTAAGTATACACCCAGAAAAAATGAAAACATATGACCATACCAAAAGTGGACACTATTATTTATAGCATTATTCATAATAACCAAAAATGGATATAATCCAAATGTCTGTCAACTGATAAATGAGTAAGCAAAATATGATATAGCCATATAATGGAATATTATTTGGCCACAAAGAGGAATGAAGTACTGATACATAGTACAACACAGATGAGCCTTGAAAACATACTAAGTGAAAGAAGCTAGTCACAAAGGACCATATATTCTATGATTCCATTTATTTGCAATGTGCAAAAAAGGCCAATCTATAGATACAGGAAGTGGATTAGTGATTGCCTATGGCTAGGTAGGGTGGGCTGGTAGAGGGGGCAGAAAAGTCATTGCTAATGGCGATGGGATTTCTTTCAGGGGTGATGAAAATGTTCTAAAATGGATTGTGGTGATGTGGCACTACTCTATGAATATACTAAAAAACACTGACTTGTACACTTTAAATGAGTAAATTGTATGGTACCTGAATCACATTCCAGTAAAGGAGAGAGAGAGAGAGAGAATGGGAGAGGAGGAGGGGGGAGGAGAGGAGGGATGGAAGGAGGACAAAGAGGAGGAGGAAAGGAAGGAGGGAGGGGGAAGGGGAGGGAGATGAGACAGCTATAGACCAGAAAGAAAGCCAAGCCTGTAAGTCACCAAGAGAGCAGAGCTGGTCCCCAGACAGCGGGTGGAGGGAGACACAGAGGACTTTGAAATCCTACCCTGTTGCAAAGACAGGGTCAACAGGTACCAGGTCATCCCAGAGCCAGTGGTCTGTTTCAACGGTCTCTGCCTGCTCTAGGAAATCAAGCCCCTGAGCCCCGCCTTATAAGGAACTAATTAGGTGGGTTAGTGGTCTGTTGGTTAAGAGATCCACTCAACCCACTCTCCTGCATCCAATACAAGCCTTGTTTCCCAAAGCTTTAAGCCCTAGGGACATTCAAGCTGTAAGAGAAAATGCCCTGGATGGAGTCACAAGACTCTGGTTCTAGTCTTGGATCTGACACCATTAGCTGTGTGGCTTTAGGCAGCTCATGGTACCTCAGGCCACCTGAGGCAAATGTTGAAAATAAAGAATGCCAAGCCCCATCTCCGGAGGTTCCAAATCAGGAGGTTTGAGCAGGACTCCAGGAATCCCCACTTTTAGTAAGTAATCCCATCTGCACAGCAAAGGAAACCATCAACAAGATGAAAAGGCAACCTACTGAATGGGAGAAGATATTTGCAAACCATAAGAGGTTAGTATCCAAAATATACAAAGAACTCATACAGCTCAATAACAAAAAAAAAATCCAATTTAAAAATGGACAGAGGAACTGAACACACATTTTTCCAAAGAAGATATACAAATGGCCAGGAAGTACATGAAAAGGTGCTCAACATCACTAATCATAGGGAAATGCAAATCAAATCCACAATAAGATATCAGCTCACACCTGTTAGAATGGCTATTATCAAAAAGATAAGAGATAACATATGTTGGTGAGGAGGTGGAGAAAAAGGAACACTTGTGCACTGTTTGTGGGAATGTAAATTGGTGCAACCACCACAAAAAACAGTATAGGTCTACCTCAGGAAACTGAAAATAGAACTCCTATATGATCCAGCAATTCCACTTCAGGGTATAGATCCAAAGGAAATGAAATTATTGTCTTGAAGAGACATCTGCACCTCCATGTTCACTGCAGCATTATTCACAACAGGCAAGACATGGAAACAACCTATGTGTCCGTTAATGAATGAACAGATGAAGAAAATGTGGAAAGAAAGGGAATATGTAAAATAAATAATAATATAATAAAGAAAATATATATAAAACATTATTCAGCCATAAAAAGGAAGAAAATCTTGCCATTTGAGACAACATGGATGGACCTTGAGGACAGTATGCTAAGTGGAATAAGTCGACAGAAAGGACAAATACTGTATGATCTCACTTATATGTAGAGTCTAAAAAAAAAAAAAAAAAACTCACAGAAACAGAGAACAGACTGGTGATTGCCAGAGGCAGGGATGCGAGATGGGGGAAATGGATGAAGGTGGTCAAAAAGTACAAACTTCCAGTTATAGGAAAAATAAATTCTGGGGAATCTACTGTATAGCATGGAGACTATAGTTAATAATACTGTACTGTATATTTGAAATTTGCTAGGACAGTAACTAAATTTATTGTGGTGATCATTTCACAATATATACATGTATCAAATCATTATGTTGTACACCTAAAGCTAATACAATGTGATATGTTAATTAAATCTCAATAAAACTGGAGAAAATGTAATCTTAGGTGATTCTGATAACACAGTCAGATGTGATCCACTGGACTAGATGTTTCCTATGGGTCTTTCAGCCTGAGAACTGTATGGGAAAGAGGGTTTGATTGAAGTTAAGAAAAGACATGTAACCCCCATCTGCTTCTCCAACCAAAGATGGAGGGTAAAGGCCTATGTGTTGCAGTCTGGCTACACCCAGAATTTCTTTAAACCAATTCCAACCCCCTCCACTGGTTCTCTGCTTGTCACCCTCACAAAGCAACCAATCCTGGGTTCTCCTTCTGGAAGAAAGTTCCCTCACCTAGGGCTTAAGGATGCTTCATGTCTGCATGCACACACACATGCATACACACTCATGCACACGCACATGACTATGAGCCAATCTATTGTTAAATGCTTCTATGCATGCAAGACTCTGCCAACATGAACCCACTAAGCCTGCAGATGAATCTATCAGGTCAGAAACAAAGGGAAAGCTTTGGGATCAAACCAAACAATAAATTGCAAATTGGATCAGTGGCTCTTCCTCTAGTTCCACTGTGGAAGCACGTTATTAGCTCTCTGGACATGCTCAGTGGCTGGCAACATCCACACACATGACATCCACGAGGTTCCTCCCTGGTCAGGCATAAAGCAGAGGTGACCTTGATACTTCTCACTCCTAAGCCTTTAGCACCAAGGCTCGTGACTGCACTCAGGAGTCGGAGCTTTGGGCTGGAGAAAACCAACTTTCCCTTTGGCTCTCCCACATGATGCCAGCTGGCAAGCCCACAGAACTTATGCCAGTTCACTCACACAGTGTTCTGGGCCATTCCCCAGTTCCCTGCTGCCCCTCCCACCCCCTCCACAACCCAGCCTCATGTTATGGCAGAACAGGAAAGACCACAGAGCGGTTGGCCTCACAGAGGAAGGAGGAACTGGCAGAAGGCAGGAGTGCATCCCTCCAAAGAAGATAGATGGGAATGAGGCAGGATTTGGTAACTGAGCTGACAAATAACCCAGGGGCCAGTTCTAATGGAAGGCACATCCTGGGACATTTAAGTCTATAAATATTTATTGACATTGGCCATATGACAGGTGTTGTGCTAGCTGCTAAGCTTATACAGTTGAGTAAAAGTGGTCCTTGTCCTCAAAGACCACACCTTCTAGTAGAAGGTACAGACACGTAACCAACCACCTGGGACACAGGGCAGAGGGGCACAGCTACACACAAAATGCAACTAATTCTACGTAGGAGGAAGACAGGAAAAGGGCAGCATGAAAATTTCTGACCTGTTTAGGAGCAGTGAGTGGACCCCATAAGTGGAGCATGCCAGCACATGGAGACCTGCAATGAGGGTGAAGGAAGAAGAAAGGTCAGAGCTGCAGACCACAGGGAGGCGTCATGATGGCTCAAACCAGGGCAGGGTCTGGCAGTGAAGAGGGGGAAAGAGGGGACAGACTCACGAGATGCTGGGGGAGAATATACAGCTCCATGGTAACTCGATGAATATGGGGGCTGGACAGGGAGAGATGAATGAAGGAGGTTTCAGAAGACTCAAATCAGGATGGAAGAAGGCTGTGGGGTCAGTAGACCTAAGACCTGGTCCAAGGGGCATGAGGACAGAGCTGGCAGGCTGGGAGCAGACTTCCTGAGAATAAAGGCAGTGAGGGAGGGGGAAAGATAGGAGGTGGTGTTTGAAAGGGCATTTCAGACAGAGGTAGAGCCGTGTGGGTTGTGGCCATGGGCGTAGTGGAACTGGAGAGGAGGAGGCAGGCCAAAGTGGAGGAGGTGAGGGTCATCCCAGTGGATGTGGAGGCCATTGGGATGACAGCAGGAGGCAGAATGGAGGAAGAGCATAGGAGGTGGGGACAAGAGTCCTTATCCTAGCGGACTATGGAGAGGGGACCTGGAGGCCCACAGAGGGAGGACTGAGGGTAAGGATAGGGTGGACCACCCGCCGACGTTCCTCCTGACGGAGAAGGGCTCCTGGGCAGAGTTCACTGGTCAGTGGCCTAAGGACAGGAGTGAAGGGGATGGGCATGTGTGCCTCCAGCTTCATCCAGATTGCCCTCAGAAGTACAGCTGGGATGAAACTTCTTTCACCACCTCCATCACTTCTAGAAATAAAAGCCAGTCCCATTTGGAAGCCGATGCTGCATGTGGTGCTCTACACAGAGCTGAAGCCCAGGCCGGATGACTTCTGCTCCCACACCTCATTTTCATCGGCCCTGTTCCTCTGTGGGAAGGGGTCTAGGATGGCTGGAAGCTCCCCTTCCTGGTCTTCAAGGGCCATCTGGTGGGACCGCCTCTCTGGAAAGCAGTCTGACGACAGTATTCCTTTAATTTTTTAGTCATCAGACCCTTTTGTGGGGCTCGAAGTGAACTGGTTCTCACCAAATTCCAGTCTCCACTGAACACGGCCAAGGCAAGATTCTCCTTTGTTTGTGGCTCTCCTGTCACCTTTTTGCTTTCCTTTTCACAGATTTTATTCTTCCAACTTTTCTATTTAGGGCATTTCCTCCAAATCCTATAAAACCAGTTTAGATATGTCTCTGTTTGGCCACATAAAGGTGGGCACCCATACACGCAGGCCTGCCATGTATGGAGTTCCCAAGAACAAAGTGAGATCCTGTTGTTCTCTTCCCCAAAAAGTGCATACAGAGTCTTCACTGAATGGCATCATCCTGGAATCTGTAACAGAAATAAAATAAAGGATGATGATTTATAGCAGAAGGACCCAGGTCTCCAACACATTAAGGTCATTCCTTTAGTGAACCATTAAAGCAGCAGACAGGTTAGGGACAAATCTGGAAAGGTGTCCGAGGCCAAGTCTGTGCCCTTGAATAGTTCCCAGGAGTCTGCCCAGGGCACAGGCGCATAAATGAATATGGCTTCATGTGAAAAACACTAAAGTGAAAGGAATTATAAAGTATTTTGGAATTCTGGGAGACAGATTGGGAGAAACTACAGAAGATTGGTGATATTTGGACTGAGGCTAAGGGGTAAGTAGGCATCTGTCAAGGGGGACACTAATGAAAGGGATGCTGAGGATCTTTCAGGAAAGGAAATGATGTGGGCAAAAGCACAGGATTATAGAAGCCCCTGAGTGGACAGGGTATTACTTCTGAGCGGGTAATCACTGCCCCTGGTCATCACTGTCGTGTGCCACGTATACCGTCTGTCTCTAGCACACCATCAAAATTAGGCCAGAGAGAAGCCCTCTGGCTGGCTGGTTGCTACACGAGGTGGGAAGCCTGTCATCCAAGTAACAAACCCAATTCAGAAAGCATTCCTACAGACCTACTAAGAGATTACAGAAGGGCAGGAGGTGGAAGAAATGTCCTGCCCCGATGCCCAGAGACACTATGGGGAAGCATATGGACCTTCAGAGGCGCCTCTCTTGGGTAGGCTTTCCTATGGCCCCAGGATAATGATATCCAGTGACAATGACCAGCCCCACCGATGTCCCAGAGACTCATCCCTTAGAGTGCTGGTTGCTCAGCACTAACCGAGGGCCACCAGAGACCAACAATGTACAGTCAGGGGTGCTGTCTCTGACCACAGAGTGCTCACAGTCTCGGGGCCCAGATGAGACCCATGCAGAGCAAGGAGCCAGCAAGCCCCCTGCAATGACATGCCCAACTTGGGGCGCCTGGGTGGCTCAGTTGGTTAAGCGACTGCCTTCGGCTCAGGTCATGATCCTGGAGTCCCGGGATCGAGTCCCGCATCGGGCTCCCTGCTCAGCGGGGGGTCTGCTTCTCCCTCTGACCTTCCTCTCTCTCATGCTCTCTACCATTCTCTCTCTCTCTCTCAATAAATAAATAAAATCTTAAAAAAAAAAAATGACATGCCCAACTGTAGCTGGTAGCAGTGATGCAGCCCCTCAGAAAGTAAAAGTCAGCTCCGTGTGGACTGAGCTCATCAGAGATGGGTGCAAGGAGCAGGTGGGTGGGGCATGAGCTGACCCATGGAGCTTGGGTGGGATCTGGACTCTAAGAGAGGGGACAAAGAACAAGCTGGGGGAGCACTGTCAGGCGACTCCCAAACCTGGACACCTGGGTCCTTAGAACTGGAAAACAACTTGCTGCTCACCTGTCCAGATTCTTAGCCATCACAAAAACCCTCCTGCAACCCCAACCATCCAGGCTCATCACTAGCTGGCTGCTGTCAGGGCAGGAGAAAGGAACTGAATGGAAAGACTGTCCGGCAGACACAAATCCCTCTCCGAGCTGCCTCTCCTAACAGTAACACCTTTCTGAGAGACCAATATCCTAAATCTTAAAACATTTTGCCTTGGGACTCAGGGGACGACCCTTCCCCCGACCCTATATCTCAGCAAAAATGTCATCCCCACCAAGGGCGGCAGTTTTGCCCTGCAGGACAGAAGCAATCAGTCTCCATTCTCGGCATCCATATTCATGGCAATCGTTCATGTTCTGACCTGTAGCCCTGTGTGGGATGTCAGCCTGGGAGCCAGGGCTGATGGTCCCCAGAAGTGCACTTCAGGAATTAGCCCACAGCCATCTGCCTCTCCTCCAAGTAACTCGGGCCCTGGGAGAAATAAACAGCTGTTGTCACTGCAGTCCCAGAGAAGCATGAAATAGGGCAAGGAGGAAGGGAGGTGGTAACTTGCAGAGCCAAGGCCGCTCCTGAGAGTGTTTGAAGGTTATTAGTGTGGCTATAATCAGGCCATTAGCCAAATGCAGGTGGAGAATGAAGTGGTTTTGAAATTGCTTTCCAGAGAAAGCAGGGTCTGTGTTGGTATAATCTATGCATGTGATCTCTTTCAAGTAGCTCTTCTGCTGCCTACATGACCAAGGGGCTAGGACTTGGGTCTCCAGCTAACCACAGTCAGAACTAGCCACTTCCCTGGCCCTTGAAAGGGGTCAGTGTGTGCCAGGGTGTGCCAGCCAAAGCCCTGCCTTCTACCTGTGCCACCTGCCCTGTGTGAGAGAGTGCAAGCCGTCGAGTCCCCGTCTCACACTCCCAGTCCACGTCTGGAGCATAAATACCTCCTTTTAGTTCACGGGCAGTGGCCTCATTCTGCACCCCAGTGCAGGCGGTGTCTAGTGGCCGTGCCCAGTGTGGCCATCCCATCCCCTTCAGGCTTCCCAAGGGCGTTCAACAGCAGGCTCATTTCTTTTTTTTTTTTTAATTTTTTTATTGTTATGTTAATCACCATATATTACATCATTAGTTTTTGATGCAGTGTTCCATGATTCATTGTTTGTTCATAACACCCAGTGCACCATGCAAAACGTAGCAGGCTCATTTCTAAGAGCAGCTTCTTGATGAGAGAAGGGTCCTCAGAGTCCCTGTGGATGAAGCCTCTTGCCCAGCTCCTTCTTAGCCACTGAGCAGACCCAGGCCTCCTTCCCAGGCTGAAGAAGAGGAAAGGGTGTTCCCACTTGCTCCTCCTTGAGGTGCCTCGCCATTGTTCATGGCGCCCCCAGCCATCCATTCCCTCGAGCCGAAAGCAGGAGTCTTGTTCTTTCCTTCAGCCCCTCCACAACCAATCAGTGACAAGTTCTGTCCTTGGATCTCTTCCGCCACCCTCCTCCTTCCCACTCCATTCCAGTTGTTTCCCACCGCCACAGCCTAACCAGGCCGTCTGCGCGCAGTTCAGCGGGAATCACGTGCCACAGATTTCAGGTCTGACCCTCGGTCGCCTCCGATCCAGCCTTTCAGAGCTCTCGTTGTGCTTCCGGGCGGGCTCCCAACGCCTCGTCTGCCCCGCGGCGTCTGGCGCCTGCGCGGCGGCCAGATGGAACCCGCTCACGGCATGCTGGGAGCTCGGCTTTCTCTCACCAGCAGGCTTCACACAGGCCACTGCCTCTTCCTGGGATGCTTTCCCTTCTCCTCCCTCCTCACTAAATCCCATTCCTCCTTCGGAGCTTAGCTCAGGTTCCACTGCTCTCCAGAAGCCTCCTCTGATCCCTCTTTCCCCCACATTTGGGATAAGGGCCCCCTTTTTATGGGCTTAATGCAGTATATTACCTGTACCTCTATCTCCCCTGCCCGTCTGGGCTCCTCCCAGGCAAGGATGCTGTTGTAGTCAACTTTGGATCCCCTAGGCCTATTACAGCACATAACAGTTTAAAAGCATTTCAAAAGGATCAAATGGCTGAATTCATGAAAGAACAAATAACACAAGCCCCCCGTGACCCAATGGGACAATAGCTTGTTGAGTAACTGGGGGTTGAGATAGCAGAACCCTGTGTGCAAATCACACATGCAGAACTAGGGAATGTTTTCAAACAGAGTACCTTCAGCTTCACCGCCGAGACTTCCTTGCAGTTCCGACAGGTGTAATCCCCCTAGTCCCATCCAATCAAATGTGCTGACTCGTGGTTCTGTGAGTCTTATCACTGACCCAAGGAACAACATTTGTAATTGGCCCCTAGCGTAGCCTGACTAGGCGTTGGATGAATGACTTGGCCATACTGCAAGGACTAGGAGCATAAGCACAGCCTCCATCATCTGGTTCACCTACCATGGGAACTTTGATGCACCGGGATGTGCTTTTTCACCCCAGATTAGATAAAATAACTTTTGATGCACTTACCTACTCTCTTCAGAGTAGGTTGATGGGAGCAATGAAAGAACCCGGTCTTCTGGGCTGACATTTGCTGGTTTCATGAAAAAGTGAAGGGAGACCAATTGAATTACAACCCGATTCACAAAGTGGAAACTGCTCTGTCTGGCTCAGCCTTCTTCTTGGGCCAGTTTTTCTGTCAATCCTCCTTGGTGCCTCAGCCCTCCCCTGGTCTCTTTCACAAGCTGGCAGATGTGTTTGATGCAATGCTGGCAAAATGACATACAGATGGTTACCCATATGGTGCCAGTTTGGATCTGACTCCTGGAGAAAATTCTGGAAGCCCACTGAGCTATGAAGGACACCCACCAACTTCCTGCACTAGGTCCAAAGCTGACTGCTCATGGGGACACAGGTGGGAAGCAGGTGTTTCACATAAATGGACTACCCTCTGCTAATCACCACCAATCAAGCCAGTGGTGCAGGGGAAAACAAAATGAGAAAGAATCATCATCCAAGAGGTGAAATGACTGGTGGCCAAGGAAGGGATGGTTTGGATTCACATAGCACAAATGGCCATATTTCAGGCAGGCTTTGCTTGAGAGAATGCCAGAAACTTGGAGACAAAGGGTTTGGGGACTTCAGATTTAATTCCAGTTGATACAATATCTGGGGGTGCTCAGTCTAACAAATTCCATCTAATGAGTGTCCACAGCAGACAAAGAACAGATTCATTCAGCCAATTGTTCAATGTTTATTGAACACCTACCATGTGCCAGACGCTGTTCTGGACGCTAGGGACAGAAAGGTGAGCAATTTCCATAAGGACCCTCCATTTTAGAGACTTACATTCCAGTTTGGGGAGCACAGAGATACAAAGAAGAATATGTCAGATAGCACTAAGTGCTACACAGGAAGGTAAAATAGAGTGACGTGATAACAAAGAAGTGGGTGGTACTTTAGATTGGGTGACTAAGAGGTCCTTTTGGAAAAGCTGACATTTGAAGCTACAGGCTGAATGACAAGGAGGAACCAGCTAACCACACAGGCATCAAGGGAATAACAAAAGCTAAAGCCCAAGGTGAGACAGATTGATGCTCAGCTAACCCCAGAACACTAATGACTCCCAAATTTACACTTGCAGCCTACACATTGATTTTGAAATTTAGTCTCACTCCCTGAAGTCTCAGGAAGTTCCAGCTCAACTTTTCCAAATGTGAACTCACGGTCTCCGTCCCAAACCACCTCCTCTTTCTGTATTCTACATATCAGTGAATGATGTCACTATCCACACTGCTCACAAACCAAGGGGCTGGACATCATTCGCTGCAGGTTTGGGTTTCCCGTGAAGCAGCCTCTTAGATGAAGATTAGCATAAGGAGATGTGCTAGAAAGTGTTCTTGGGATGTCCACCTGTGGAAAGGAAGGGAGGAAAGCAGGATTGGAAAAAGAAGATGTTGAGCTGCAGGGAAGTGTCAGCTGAGGCTTCAGCCAACTCCAAGGGGGCTCTGAATCTGTGATGGCCCTCAGAGTTGTGTCAAGGCAGGACAAGGGGCCTGGGCTGTGGATTTTGTACCCTGATGTCAATCCAACACTGAATGTAGGCTGTCCATGAAGGTGGTGTGGCCTTGGACAAGATAACTGTCTTCAGCCGAGGGCAATTCTCCCAGGGGTTGGGGGTGTAAGCCCTTCAGTCCTGAGGGAATCAGGGTAACACCTCAAAACATCTACTTCCCCCTTTGTTTCATTCCCACCATCCGATAGAGATGAGACCTGTCCTGGGTGTTGGGTGGGGGGGATCTGACTTTTTTACATCTCTCCCACCTATCCTGTTCTCCCCTTCCATCTTGCACGAGCTCAAGTCTCAGAATTTCTCATCTGGACTAGCTCTTCAACCAGGTCTCCCTGGCCCCCTCCAGTCTATACTCCACATGGTTGCCACGTGGCTGTCTTATTTTCCTAAGACATAAATCTAAGCCCACTACTCTGCTGTTTAAAACTCTTCAGAAGCTATCTTCAGAATAAAATCTTAATTCTCTTCAGGATAAATCTAGATTTCAGATCACAGAATTTCAGATCCTTCACGACCTGACCCTGTCAATGCCTCTGTCCTTATCTCTCCCCATCCCCACCCCAGACTCTATGCTTTGGCCTTTCGGCATGAGTCCTGTGTTGCCTAAGTTTTCCTTTGCACATGTGGCTCTTCGGCCAGGAAAGCCTTTCCAATCTCCATCCTCTCTGACTTTTGGGACTCGTTGCAGTGCTCAGTCTTGAAACAATATAACCATCCATCCCACTACCCCCATCCCACCAGGTCATCTTGGCCTTGTCTCTATCCCAAAATTCACAGTTCTCTCCTAAGGACCTGATACCTTGTCCCCCTTCCCTGTGATTCAGCAAGATCCCTAAGAAAAGAGATTATATCATATTCTTTATAATATCCCAAATACTATCACAGTGCATGACACATAATAGGCACTCAGTAAACATTTGATGAATGAATCAATAGTCAACCCATGAGAATAAGAGAAGTTAGTAATGTTGTCTGAGTTTTTTTTTTTAAGATTTTATTTATTTGAGAGCAAGAGAAACAGATAGTGAGAGAGAGCATGAGGAGGGAAGAGAAGGAGAAGCAGGCTCCCCACTGAGCAGGGAGCCCAACACGGGGCTCGATCCCAGGACCCTGGGATCATGAACTGAGCCAAAGGCAGATGCTTAACCGACTGAGCCACTCAGGCACCCCTGTCTAACTATTTAATACCAAAATGAGGTACTCTAAGGAGTTCATCTACCCAACAGGGATGTAATAGCCACAAGGAATGGAGAGAGTGAATCCTCATACCAAGGCAACTGCCTCCACAGAGTGTAAGGACTGTGTGCAGCCATGACAGCCCTTTATCCCTGAGCATGGTTCTAACATAAGCTGGGGGTCAGCCATGTCTATGTATTTCTGGTAAGCTGGTGGACGTGCCCATAAGAAGCCCACCATGACTCACCTAAATACTCATGCCAAACCCCTTCTCACATGCCTTCCTGCACTATAGAGACTGAGAACAGAAAACCACATCCATTTCCAGACCTCATGTGACCTACTTTCTACCAAGCAGACGCACCCATCAGATAGTCAGAAAGTGGAAATGAGTAACGTGAGGCGGCAGTCATGTGCCATGAGATCAGAAGAGAGCTGTTTGGTTCTTGGTAGAAGCTGTGGTAGCAATTCTACTGCTGGGGCCCTGCCTCAGAAATAATGAAATGTATGCAGGTGGGCCCAGCAGTGGGCTTCTGCTCCAACAGTCAGGCGTTTCTCCTGGCTGGTCTCCTGACCTTTGGTAACATCATCCCCATACCTTATAATAAGTCCATTTATCCTTAAACTAGGATATGAATAGTACACCCATTTACAAGGAGGCCTGTGGATTGGAAAGTGTTCTTTCTGGGGGGGAGAAGCAGCCAGATGTGATGAACTTAACCCAGCAGCAGAGCCTCTGTCGTCAGAAGGATAATTCTGTCATTCACATGCATCTCCTGGCCCAGCCCACAAAGACTCCTATTGGAATCCCATTAAGAACAGAACTGTCAGTGAAAATAGAAAGAACTGTCGACTAACACTATGTACAACACTGAGTCACAGTCAGCCCTGCTTAGCCACTCCCTCTCTAACAGAGCAAGTAGATGGATTCTGCCCCACTTGGCTTCAAATTATTCTGCAGCTATCACATCCCAAAGGCTTCAATGAGAGGGGGACATCATCACCACCAAGAGCTAGCAGTGCCTGGTTGGATGACCAGTAGGAGGCACTAGAACCAGGGGAGCCCCCAGCTGGAGCAATGGTCATGCTAGAAAGGGGAGGCCTTATTTGTGAACTCTGGTGCAACTCTCCCTGAGTTCTCCCAGAATACCTGGGCAGAGGAACATGTTGAGTGGCAAGTATGAGACACTATTTGGGGACCCCGGCAGTACTGGGGGAACTCTCATCTGTGAGCCCCTGGGAGTTCCCAGGGATATGTGGGGAAGACTTGTTCCTGGGCTTATGTATGGGGCTTCTCAGAGACCCCCATAAATGTCATCAAGAACACGTGGGGGACATGTCCTTAGACTCCCAGAAGAACAAGGCAAAGACTATGGTTGATGAACACATGAGAGACACCTCAGAGGACACTCACCTTTATACTGGAGTACTTATTGGGAGAGTGAATGAGGCACTCCTAGGCTCAAAATATTCTGGGGGGGCATTCTGCGTGACCAGATTGAGGCAAAATCCAGTGAAATTTAAGGATTACAACTCATATGATGTTCTTTTTCCCCACAGGCCTGGGGGCATTTTCACATTCATTTTGGTTACTGAGCATTACACCCCATCCCCCCTTCTGAGAGACAAACTTATTATTTAGGTCTGGCAATTCTTTTGTTGAGGTCACTATCAAAACTTGTGGGACTGGGAGCCATTTTGACCCTGTCTGGTGACCTTGCATATCACTGCTGTGCTCCATTAGGCAACAAAGTTGCAATTTAACTCCCAGAAGGCAAGCTTTTGTCCCTTCTTCTGTGGGACCCCCTCAGTGTTGCCCTCTTGCTAGTCACAGAAAGGGGAACGGGAGCTTTCAGGAACCAGTTGGCCTGTGTGAAGAAAGGAGGGTGCAGGGTCCCCGGGCATCAGAGGGTGCCCCACCGAGCCAGCACCCTGCTTCCTAGTCAGCTGCCAGCCGATTCTCTCCTCCCCTACCTCCAACGCTGAACACTTCTGCCCACTGCAACTTCTTTGCAGAGTTGGGAAACGTGCCTCAGAAACTCATCTGAGAATAAAAGATATTAATAAACAGTTCACAGAAGGGGAAAAACAAATGACTACTGAACACTTGGAAAGGTGTCCAACCACACTAATAATTGAAGAAATTCTACTTAAAACCAGCTCCCATTTCTACCCATTAAATTAGCAGATTTTTTTTTTTTTCAAATAAGGATACCCAGAGGTGGCAACAGTGGTGTGAAGTGGGGGTTTTATCTTCTACTGGTGACACTTTAAATTGGTACACACTCTTTGGGAAGCCATCTGGCAGTACATATCAAAAGCCCTTAATATGTTCGACCCTTTAACCTTGTTACTCTGCTTTTAGGAATCTATCTTAAGGAACAAACCAGATTCCTGCAAGAGGACATGCACTGTACTGTTATTGGAGCAATCACAAAACAAAAGTGGAAACAAAAATGTTCAACGGCAAAAACTATTAAATAAATAATGGTACGTGTGCATGGCAGAATATTAAGAAATGTTAAATATCATATTTTCAAACAAAGTAATTACATGAAGAACTTCTTATAATACAATAATAAGTGGGGGAAGCACAGGGTTTAAAGACACATAGGGACTACCTGACCAAAGACCTGACTTCAAAATATAAAACAACTTTCCAACAAAATAAGATGATAACCCGGTTAAAGAGTGAGCTGAAGACTTAAGGACACTTCACCAAAAAAAAAAAAAAAAAAAAAAAGCATACAAATGAACAAAGCACATGAAAAGATGATCCACATCAGTAGTCATCAGAGAAATCCAAAGGAAACCAATGAGCTAGCACTACACACTCACCAGAATGTCTACAATCAAAAGGGAGAATAAATACTAAGTATTGCAAAGACTTGAAGCAAATGGAACTCTTGTTTACTGCTGGTGAGAGCTGAAAATAGTTCAACAACTTTAGAGAATGGTTTGGCAGGTTCTCATAAAGTTAAACATACTCTTACCACATAAACTAGCAACCCCAATCCTAGGTATTTAACCAAGAAAAATAAAAGTATATGTCCACAAAAAATACTTGAATATGAACACTCACCATTACTTCATCAAAATGGGCAACAACCCAAATGCTCACCAACAGATGAATGAATAAGCAAACCGTGGCTCCTATAAATAACAGAATATTACTCAGCAATAAAAAGAACAAACTGGTGATTTCTACAACAATCTGGAAGAATCTCAAAAAACATTATTCCAGGAAAAAGAAGCCAGACACAAAGTATATATACTGTGTGTTCCATGTATATAAAATCCTAGAACAGGCAAAACTAGTAGTTCCTTGGGCCTGGGTGAAGAAGAGGATGTAAGGATTGACAGGAGGGGAACAAAGGAACATTTTGAAGATAGAAATGTACTACATCTTGACTGTGATGTGTTTGTTCAAACTCTGTGAACTATACACCTAAAAGGGTACACTTTATTTTATCTCAATAAAGTTCTTTTTCTTTAAGAATATGTTATAGAGACTTTCAGTAAAAAATAGCACATTAACTACATGCATCTCTCTTTGAGACCCCACGAAACGATAGTAAAGGAAAAAAAGGATAAGTAGGGGTCTCAACTTCAAAAGACATGGCCAGGTTGGAAATTGGATGGACAGGTGGTAAGTGACCCAGTGGGGTGATGAGTCCCTCAGCCTAGAGCACATTCACTGGGTGATTCGGCCAAAGGAAGAAGCCTGGGCACTCAGAATGTCAGTGTGAATCAGGGCAGGAGTGAGACCAGGGAGTGACTGCAGAAGGATTCATTGAATAGCTGTAGATGAGATAGTCTGTTCCCATACCATGATGTGCTGTGGCACAGAAAGCAGTCAAGTGCCCCCTACACCACCTGTGATAAGACACCAGTGTGTTCCACTCTTACACACACACACACACACACACACACACACACACACACACACACACAGATGTATCGATATAGGAGACCCAGATTATAGGAACCCTCCAAGAAAGTAAATCAAAATTATAGAGGACAGAAAAGATAAGGAAATCAAGACTCAATCCAGAAACTCCATATGCAAATAGTAGGGCTCCAAGGGAGAACAGAGAAGAAATCATCAAAGAAATAATACAACAAAACTTTCCAGAGCTGAAGGACATGAGCCTCCAGAATAAAAGCACCGTCAAATGCCTAATACAATGACTGGAAAACCACCTGTACTTGGTACATGACTGAAAATTTCAGAATCCTAGGGATGAAGATAAAATCCTGAAAGTTCAGGGTATAAGAAAGAAGTCATCTGCAAGGGAATCAGAATCAGGCTGGCCTTAGGTTTCTCATAAGCAATGAGGGTGATGATTTCAATGTTCTGAGAGTGAATTGCCCTGAATCTAGAATCCCAGACCTGACAAAAGCACCAATCAAATGTTACAGTGGAATATATTCAAGGGCTTAAAAAATTTACCTCCTTCACACCAAGTTTCTGGAAGTTACTTCATGGACTGCAACCAAACAGAAACCTAGAAGATATTGATCTATAGGCAGTGTAGATCAGAGCAAGCCAGAGAATCCGGGAGCCGAGCCTCTGGAAAGCAACATACATACTGACTTACCTGGTTGGATGAAAAAGTTGGGGTAAAATAGAGAATGTAATAAAGATAAAGCAAAGGGACAAGGAAAATCTAGGCAAAAACAGAGCCCTTCAAACAGCAAATGCGCCATTGGGCTACCGCTTGGCTCTGCAGGAGCCATAGTGACACAGCCACAATGACATAATCACTGTTTACTGATTCTTAGCTTTCCAGAACAACCTCTAGGAAAGATGGAAAACTTAGTGGCTGCATGTGGAACATTATGAAGAAGCTAAAGTACTGCAGACCAGGCAGTTGATCCATGGAATCTGGGAAGGGGATCTGAGAAAGGGCGGGCTGCTGGGGAGTGTTACTATCTTCCCTGTAGAACATGAAGGGTCAAAATAACTGTAGAGTTGATGGAACAAGATTAAAAAGATTTGGGTCTGTTGCTTGTAGTGAAAAGTAACCAGTAGGGGAATTATCACTGTGGAGGAGACGGGGACGAGACAGGGACAGAGAAGCCACATCATGAGAGCAGGAAGTCTAGGGGGTAATGTCTAACACTGAAAAGCAGGAAATAGTGGTAGACCCGCGTCAACTGGAGACACAGGCTGACAAAATCACCAGAAGAAAATACCAGAAGGGCTCAAAGCAGCTGTCTCTGAGGATCAGGACTAGGGATGGGAGGAGGTCAACATCGGGACTGCTCTTCATCCTAAATTCTCCTATACTTGCCATTTTTATTTAATCATGTGTACATATTACTTCACTAATTAAAAAAAAAACACTTAAAAGAACTGTAAGCAGCATGCAGTTGCCAATATTCTAAAACATGCACAAATAAAATCATAGAAAAAAGACTTGAAAGAAATATAGTAGCTGTGTCTGAGTGGAAGTTGTGTTATGCTATTTAACTTCTTTCTACTCTTCCATTTTCCCAAATTTCCTGTAATGAGTATCCATTATTTTTAGAAACAGGAAAAAATATTATATAAAAAATCAAAACACTGTTTAGGAACCAGTTTTACATGATACTGGAAATGAAGTGAAGGAAACAAAATTAAATATAAAAATGAATTCAATTATTTAAAACAATATGCATGAAAGTAGAGAGACTTAAGAAAATATTGACAGTAATGATCTTGGTGGTAGCGTTAGGGGTGATTTTTCTCATCTTATCTTTCCTTTTTTCCCCCCAATATGTTTTTTGTAATAAGCATATTAAACCAGGTTTGGCTGGAGAACTAAATTTCATCTTTCCATCGGCTTCAGACCAAAATAATTATGTAATGCCTCTGTGTGGTGCTGACACCTAGAAGGCCTTGGATGAGCACTTGTGGCATTAACGGAACTAAATGTAAATGAGTTCTCTGGTTTCTGGTTCAAACTAAGCCAGCAGGCCTCAGCAACTCAACATTTACCTGGTGCCTACTGTGTCCGGTGACCTGCGGGAGAGGCTGTGTGGGTTCAGGACATGGAGGGCACTGGCTGACTCTGATCTTGACATGTGACAGACCAGTCTGCAGAAGAGAAGAAACACCCACATGGAAAACAGATGGAAAATTTGCCCATAGCTACAGTGAATGGGTACATCTAGGCTGAAGGGGTGGGTATTTTCCTAGGCCAGCTCCCCCACCTTGGAGATCCTCGGTGGTGGAATCCTCAATGGCAGCCTCTCCTCTCCTCTCCTGCTTCTCTTGCCAATGCCTGCTTTCCCTTCTACCACCTAAAACCAACAGAGGCCCTGGGAAGCCAGTTCCCCTCCTCCTCCCCAGCCCCAGGAGGTAAGAGGCCTCTAAATGTCTGAGACAAGAATGGAAAGCAACAAACACCTGGGATTCTTTACCACCCAACCACACTTGACTCCAGGGGAGCTAGGCTTAATCAGTCTTCCTATGGAGAAGCGAAAAAGCCAATAAGAAGAAAAAAATAATGAAGAGTACACTGAGCTCTCTCTGAAAATGCTCTCCAAAGGAAGGCTGTGAAGTACCCAGTGTGTTCTCTGGCCAAGTGCATCCACAAGACTCTCTGGTGATCCCAGCCAAATTTGCTGGTTCCCAAGAGACTGTCAACAAGACAACAAGAAATGCATGACATGGGCATGGGTGCACAGTGATCTCTATTTCAAGCATCAGAATTTCCTTGGTTGCCCCATCTTCACCTGCAATTGCATCAAGGCCAAAGTATATGTAACAAGATGTTAAATTGAAAGTTTTGCCCAAGGCATCATGATAAACATAACATTCTAATGTGGTGCCAGAAGAAGATGCAAATTTTCAAGGTAAGATCCAAAAATTTGTTACCAAACTCAAACTTCTCACTGACACTCACACTGAGGGCATGAAATGATCTGGCTTTTAGAGATTGAGGGAGAGGATCTGTAGAGAAGATTTATTTGGAAAAAACATACTGATGTGCTGTAAGCCTCAACCCTTCCAAGAGGGAGGATGGGGAGGTGCCTATTTCTCTTCTCAAATCTCATGAAAGGGACTTCAGAAAGCTTGGTACATGTACCCTGGAACTGGAGGGACACAGTGGACCCATGATGGATTCCAGGCTGGAAATCTAAAAGGCAGGAAGAGATGGGCTGGCTGGCTTCTCCCATCATGAATGGGAGGAGCTATTTCTGCAGCGTGGAGACTGACCTATAAATCCCAGTGTATGCCTGGACAGGGACACCTGGGTGTTTCCCCTGAATGGGATTTGAGCCAATGATACGAGAGAGCAGTTGTGGTCAGGTTGGGCACTGTCCAAGAAGGGCCTCCAGGAGGGGTTAACAATCCTGTAAGGAGAAGCTGAAATGATCTCCAGTTCCTATGTGTGTGGGAAGGGTTGTAATGAACTAGAGGAGAATGACTGCCCAGGAAGAGGAACTGAGAGGGAAAAAAGAAACCTACTGTCCCCACCCCTTCACCAACCACAGGCTTCCTGCCTGCAAGTAGCCATACTGATGAGTTGTAGATCTGGTATTGCATGCGCCTGGGCACTCTGATTTCTGGGTTGAGACAGTGTCTGAGAATTAGCATGACTGCAGGACTTTTATTATCTAAGAGGGAGCTGAAAAGGCATGAAATGGCATGAGTTTCCATCCAATGAGAAGGAAGAACTTTCCTCCTTGAATATATTTGAAAAAGACCATGGAAATGAAAATAGCGTTGCTGGGGCACCTAGGTGGCTCAGTCAGTTGAGCATCCACCTCTTGGTTTTGGCTCAGGTCATGTCTCCTGGGGGGTGAAACGAGCCCCACAGTGGGCTCCCGGCTGAGCAGGGAGTCTGCTTAAAGATTCTCTCCCTCTGCCCCTCCCCCCACTCACGTGCATGTGTGCGCGCACGCACACGCGCGCGCGTCCATATGCACGTTCTCTTTCTCTCTCTGTCTCTAAAATAAATAAATCTTTAAAAAAAAGAAAGAAAGAAAAGAAAATAGCATTGCTTTATACTTACCTCTCAAGGGTTCTGATTGCTCAAAGTCCACATCGTTCCGCCTGCCATGGAATCCACTTCTCTCCAAAACCAAAGAGCACTCTCTCCCCACAGCTGAACTCAGTTCCAGTCCT